CTTTTTTAATAGTGAAGATAAATATGTGATAAAATATGTGAGTCAGAATGAGGCTCAAGTATTTAGATGTCTCAGTAGTCATATGCAAGTTTTGATAGATATTTACTTGGTCTTATAAATACCTATCAGACCACATGGTGTCACATACTAGCAGTAATCTTTGTAGTTACAAAGTTAAATCTCACAGACAAGTAATTTTCTCCAAATTGAACAAACCTTCCAATTCTTAGTTCAGTATCTTTTAAGGCTATGGAAGAACAGAAATACTTGATGACATATGGGCATACTGACAGACCGTAAACAGTGGAATAATAAGGACCTTTACAAAAATCAAATTTGAATTATTTTTCTGTAGTCTCTTTTACCTCATTGCCTACATATTGTGTAAAGAAGACCTTGTGATTCTGTGTTTAAGATCTTCTGTAAGTCATCCTGTATAAGCGAAAATGTAAGTTATAATTGTTACCAGAAGGAAAATATATTAGTTTGTGACAGGTGACATGTTCTGTATTATGTTTGTCCATTGTAAGCCTGTAAAGTAAATTGAACCACTACTTCTGATGTGATATACTTGTGAGAGTTTAGATTTTAGCTTTGCTTGCTAAGAATTGGTTTCTTTGGAGGTGAAATATTCAATTTGTTTGAGACTAAGAAACATATATTTCAGACTCCTATATTTGAATCTAAAAATTTGAGTACTGTACCAACTGTTTACCACTAGAATATCTAGAATCACATTAGTGCAAGTAGATACCAAAGATGGCTGCACATTTCTTGGTGCTTATTTTTCTAAAGTTTATGTAATGGGAATAAATTCTGATTTTAAGTACCTGATGTATAACAACTCTGAATAGTGAGGTATCATTGTAAACACCAATACCAATTTACTAACCTCTCCATGTAACTTAATGTACAGTATAACATTACCAGTTCATATTATGTAAGCATTTTGTAATATTATTTAAATACAGTTTTAAAAAGAGATTTTATTGACTGTATATAGAATCTGTAAAGTAGATATATAAGGAAGCACATAGTGCACACAGGTTTGAGGAAAATATTAATGTATGTTGTTCTTGATGTTGCATGTTTTTAAAGTTTTGGATATTTTGTGAAACTGATTTTAGTTGTGTTAACTACATTCCATACCAGATTGTAAGTTCAGGGATGATCAGATTGTGCATTAATATCCTTTTAAACAGACACAAATGTATAGTTTTGTGATTTTATTGTTATTGTACATAAGTGATTGTTCTATGAGCTCAGTAAATGTACAAATGTACTATTGGACTTGTTATCCTTTAATTACCAGTTTAGTCTCCATGTTCACTTCCCAAATTGACAGCATCAGATAAGAAAGAAAAACATCTTATCCACTCCCTGAAGGAAAAGAAGATGAAAGTTCTCTTTACAAGGATGAGATTGTTACTTCTCCTGAGGCAACACTTGTTTACTTAGATCCTTGAAAAATGGCTGTTTTTCACTTCCCACTATGAGACTGCAGAGACCCTGGAAAGAGCTGTCACATCAACTCTTTTGACTCTGAAGGGGCCATTTTCCTGTTTACCATTCCTGTTTGCTCAAACAGGTTCTACCTCCTATTCCTCTCTCATAGATCTTAGTGGCCATCTTCCTTGCACCAACCAATTCTGCACCCTACTCATTCTGACCCTGAAGATGGAGGCAGTATATTCCTCCAGAGTGCTGACATCTACTGACAAGACTACATGGTGTCAGCCTAGAAAACCACAATTTGTCAAAACAAAGCAAGTGTTCAGAAAACATGTACATGTTTGCATGTGTTCTAAGCATAGACATTTTGTTAGCATGTAGTGGATGGCACTCCCCTTTCAGTTTGATATGGTATACATAAAAAGTTTACACTCGTGCATCACTGTGAGGGATATGGAAATTCTGGGATGTTTTATGATGCCAGTTTTGTAATTGAAAATATCCAGAATTGCTTCATTCACCCTCACTCCTTATACAGTCAACTCTCGATTATCCAGGGGCGGCTTAACTGGGGCTACTGAGGCTTTTTTGAGGTTTATATGTTGTTTAATATTCATTCACTTTTGTTTCACACGGTGAGTTGTAACACTATTTTCGCACTAGTGTGAACCGAGCTCTGAATTCTTTGGTCCCGTTATGCTAACACAATGTTCTAAGGTAGGGGTGAAAAAATACAAGGATTTGCGGAAAGTTTCAAGAACAGATACACCTCCCCAGTTAGTTTCTTTGTATCGATTTTCAAGTGCGTTAGCAAAATGTCAGGGTGTAAAAGGAAGCGTACTGTGTTAAGTATTGAACAGAAAAAGGAAAATGCCGCAAAAAAGCAAACGACATTATTACATTTTTTTTAAGCGTTAAGTGTGAATATTCGTAAAAAGTGTTGGATGTTGCTGAACACTGTGATTGAAATAACTAATTCATACTTCAGTGTAATGTAAAAAAAGTATTAACTAGGCCATGAGATGACATAAAAATGAGGTTGAATAAATTTAAATACAGGTAGGCCTATAGTATTATGAAGGTACAGTATTACAGTACTACTTTTAATAAAATTTGTCTTAACCGGGTTTTCGATTAATTGTGATTTCCATCCCCACCATTATCCCGGATAATCGAGAGTTGACTGTACTTTACATTGTAGGCTAATTGAAAATTGTCAAGTCATATACGCAGTTATTAATTATTATGTGAGAAAATAGACTGCAAGAATGCACAGTTCTTATATATCACAAATTAGATGACTTTTGTACTATGCTTGAAGAATCAATAAATTCCTACTCATTCAAGAACTTTGAAAGTCGCAATTGCCTCATTTTGTGAAAGAAACGTGACATTATCATTGTTATTATTTCTACTACTCCTGAAGTCCTATAAATATTGCTTCAAACCTGAATTCATTGAATATTTAAAAATTTATGAAGTATTTACTGATGACTAAAATTATTAGAAAATCCACTGACTTTTGTGTTTAGCAGGAATTTTACTTAGCATTTTATGTACTCATTTCATATAAACCACATTTAACAGATGTTCCAGGATGAATGGAAGGACATGCTGGTCTACTCTCATAAAAATCTTAAAACCCAAAGATATGGCAGCTATAAGTAGAATTTCTAGGAGTCGCCAGTTGAGAGCATGCCCAATTTTCAAATACCTCCTTAATCAGACTTCACAAGTTTATTGGTTTTCCATGTTTATAAAGATTGTTACTGATAATATTGTCTTGTTTGCTTTAGTCATAGTCTCGGGAAGTATATGAGAGCATGTGACAGTGTAGCCAAGTTCCTGCAAAGTAGGATACCTGTTTGGAAATGGGGAGAAATTCAGTTCATATCTCAACAAAAGACTGGATTTTCCTCGATCTTACCAGGGGAAGTCCAGTATTATTTCCAGCAGTTACATTCTCAGGACTTAAGACCCATTAATTAATCATCTTCTTCTCATATCCTTTTCTATTTCAAAACACATACTTATAAAAATCCAACAAACGGCATGGTTAAGTAAACCTACAAATCAAATAGTTAACAGGTTTAACTTATCATAAATCTAGTCTGTAAAGCATGCAGGAATGGAGTAGTGGTACCACAGCATTCTTGTCACGTTGAAAATGGCATATGGAAGAAGTTTAAAGAAAGTAAATGTGTCTTCACAGCAGTGGCTGTAAAGATTATTGTCTTGTGGGATGTGACATGTAGTCTGGTAGACAGTAACAATCTATCAGACTACACAGTGTCACATCCCAGATGACAGTATTCTTCAGTTAAAAATAAGACTGAAGCAGTCCTTAAATTAAAGCAAGATATCCTTGCACATCTGAAGTTTGGCCAGCTGCTCCTCAGCTATGCTAAAGACACCATGAAGCTGTCATCTCATAAAGCGAAAAGAATGCCAGTCTACAAAGTTACAGTTACTAATTCAAAAAGTGGTTTTGTGGACAAATAAGCCAGAGATAGCTCGAGAGTTTGGAAAGCAAAAATTTTGGAAGCACATTTACTGGATTTTTTTTTTAGAAAAATCAGGGTGAACTTAAATGTGTATTTTCTGCCATTTCAGTAACTGATATGCGCATTGGAAATGTATTTCTGGGTATAAAGTTCTGACAATTTTTAATTGAATTTAGTTGATGTAGAATTACACATTAATTCTTTGCACTGGGGAACACTACAGAACATTCTTTATTCAGACCTGTCATTGCAAATGATGGTTCTTGCTAATATGGAATTCAAAGAGTACTGGTGATACGATAAAGATATTCTGGAGGATCCATTACAAAACTGTTCTGTTATCTGAAGCACATAAGATGTCAAACTTTTGGTGAAGTTACATTATTTCGGGACATAAACAGCAGATAACAAGTGGTGATTTGCTTCAAACATGACAGCATCACCATAGCATTCATTTTGAGTGACATAATATAAACGAATATGTATCAGTTGAACGTCTTGATATATATGTTAACTAGCAGTAACTGAATTTATTATAATTGTTACTTATTTCCCCCGAGTTCCTGCCCTTTACCATTCCTTGATCAAGTCAGGCTAGTAAACATAATATGAAATTTGGTTTTAACACAGGAGTCGTAAAAAATTAATTATACATCGTAACAGCATAGGAATTACAATGAAAACAATACGTTTGTATTTATAAGAAAAGTTCTTACTTATTTTGGCTCCATTGTCATAGGTTTGAAATTGAGGGCAAGAACGTTTATTACTGCGTATTGGTAATGGGACTCTGCTTTTGAGAGGGACTACGATTTTTGATGCGCCAGGAAAGTCTACGTACTTCTGACATGATGTAGCGCTTCGGAAGTGGTTACTTTATTACTGTATATATTTCTTTATGGAGAAGAAGGCTCAATGCACAACGGAATGTTATGAAAAGGTAACTGTGTTATGATTCAGTGTCGCAACTCGGTCTCAGAAATTATTAGTTGGCAAAGAATTACACACCCGCCATTTGCAAGAAATTTTGCGTAAAGTCGATGCGTTTAAAACGTTTATTTGTTTGAAAACTGACAGTAAAACATTGATTTTGATTGGTATTTTGATTGTCAGGACATTATAATATTATAACACACCATGAAAACGTGCGTCAAGGCTAAATGGGCCCAGATTTTAGTTAATATATGCAATGGGTGCGATATCCTAGGTTGACTGGGTAAACATGTCAGCTCCAGCAATCCCTTGTTCAATGCAATACATCATTACAGAACATAGAATTTGCTGCATATTGGTGATCTAAGAATAGTTGAATGGTAAGAAATTATTATAAAACATTCTTTTCCTTACTTTAGAAGTTAAAGACTGTTTTGTCCTTATGTAGATCATTGGAAACTAGCCTTTAGTGTCAAAATGATACAGGTATAAGATAGTTTACAGTGTGATATTTTTATCAGAAAATTTGTGATTTCAGTATGGATTCTTTATGTCATGGAGAGAACAATAGTTTGGTGTCTCATGCCATGGACATGTTGCCTGTATGTGGCAATGCACTTCAGGAACCAGAACAATTGGGCTCTGTCACACACAACCAGGAAGTCACTGGTTCAAGTACCAGCCTGCAAATACGGTCAAGTGCTAGAGTGTCGAAGAAAATGCGACTGGACTCATTTGGCACACCGGTGACCTCAGTAGTTCCTGATAAGAAAGGTGCTCTTCAATATTCTTCATTGTACTACATGTAAAGCAGTCAACAAGTTGAGGTTATGTGATACCATATTATACAGATTTAAAAGTTTGTGACGATGGTATATTAATACAATTACTATGTTTCTGGACATTATCCATTGTGCTGCTTTTATTTAAAAATTATAACGTTTTGGAGACTGGATTCTGTCTCTGTCCTCAGGTGCCGCCTACTCAGTTGGGCTCAATCAATGGAGCTAGAGGTCCAGAGATAAGGACTAGCTCTGTCGATTGAGCCAAACTGAATTAGTTCTTCCTGAAGATGAGACAGAATCCAGTCTCTGAAACATTATATTTTAAACAAAAACAGGACAGTGGATAAATGTGTCGTATCATCCAGCATATTCAATAGTTGGTTCTCCATTATATACTTCTGATAACAAGTATGCAGAAATTAATCTGTTTTACATTTTTGTGTGTTGATGAATACTTTGTTAATGATTGTTGAGTACAGCTTTGACATCAAATTCATCACTGGAGTCATATTGCTTCTCTACTCAGGTATTGAATTCTCCTTGGTTTACATATGTTTTATAATAATTGTATCAAAATATGATTTCACATTGTATGGCATAGGTATTTTGACTTGGTTCAAATTTTGTGTTTCCTTCAAAGCCACTGAAAATATATCTAGACAAAGTTAGGTCAGTTTTGGTTTTATTAGTTTCATATGAGCTGCGTCAGAATTTCAATTGTGTAAACAAGTATTTGTTGGATACATTGCATGACTACACCATAAATGTTGCACATAATTGTCTTGCTGTCTATATAAAGGCTTGTGATTTCAGTTTGATACAAAGCAATATTTATATTCTTTTTGTTTTCATCCACAGAACTAACAAAGGTTGAAGAGAAACCAGAAAAGCTGGAAAGACCTGAGAAACTTGAGAAATCTGAAAAGCATGAGAAGGCTGATCCCAAGCAAAATGAGACAAAACCAAGGAAACGAACTTGGGAACTCTGGTCACAAGAAGATAAGAATACATTCTTTGAAGCTCTCAATGAATATGGTAAAGATTTTGATTCAATCCAAAACCATTTTGCAACTAAGGCAAGAAAGAAGGGGCTAGGTGAGCACTTAATAAAGAACAAGGACCAGGTGCGACACTTTTACTACCGAACATGGCACAAGATTTCTAAGCATCTCAAGTTTTCTGATGGTGAGCTGTCATTTTCTTATGTTAAAGAAACTTAAGCCTCCAGTATTCCTGACTTGAAAACTGTTCCTTAAATTAATTTTTTTTTTCCATATTTTTCCTGTGTTTTAACAAATTCCATCATGTGTTCTTACAAAGGCAATGCAGTAAGTTCAGAATTTAACTACATATCTTTTTACTGAATGCTACATAAAAGAGACTGCACTCATACAAATACACATTTACAGGTTTCAGCAGCATGCATTATATGTTTATACTTGCAGGAAACGGGGGCATGTGGTAGCGTAGTTTGTTGAGGGGCTATGCTACAAGCGAGAAGGTCGTGGGTTCAAGTCCTGATGAGGTCATTGGATTTTTTCAGTTGACCTAATCCTTCCAGCTGCGCTATGGCCCTGGGGTTGACTCAGCCTCTATCAGAAATGAGTACCAGAAATTAATTAAATAATTTTCCTGGGGAGTAAAGCGCGGCCGACTCATAAGGCTGACAACCTTACCGCCATCTTTGAGCTGATTGTCTAGATAATGTGGGACCCTCAATGTCTCTCAACCCTATGGGCCTTCACAGCCTCTTACAGGGATACCTATACTTTTTTACTTTACTTGCAGGAAACTCATGTAATCTTTCCTTTAAATAACAGATTAAATATTATGGTCAGATGGATAGGACTCCAGCTCTGCATTTGGGAAATCCTGGATTCAGATCTCAGCTTGAAGACTGGCTATCCTGAAAGTTTTCACAGTTTTCCTCATACCTTCCAGGCAAATGCCAAAATAATACTAACAAATATAGCATAGATGCTTCTGATCTTTGTTTGGAGATGCCCGGTTTCATTGTCAGCCAGGACACAACTATCCTGGCTGAGGTTTCTTGTGGATGTCCTCAGTCCCTCCAGGCAAATGCCAGAATAGTACTGTAAATTCAGTCATGACCCCTTCTGTCCACATTCCTTCCAGTTCATTATTTACTATCATCCAAACATTCAACCCCAGTAGAACTGGTATCAAGTATGATAGTATACAAGTATATTTTTACCATTCATATTGATACCATGGATGTCTTTGGATTATGTTATGCAGATCTGAAAAATGCTGCAAGAGAACTGTATGGACTTGTGAACTATGGTGAGATACGCAGGAAGATTGGTTTTTGTACTGAGAAAATCATGTGCATGAAACTCAATGAGCTAGTGTATAAAGGTACAATACAGATTCGAATAAAGGGAAAGACTCTGCGTATTAAAACACCACTTTGTCGGGCACTTCGCAAGCTGAACCGGCTACAAGGTATGTACACTGTTAATTTGGTAACACAGTGAACTCTCGAGTATCTCTGGTAATTAAATTAGAATTAGTAATTTATAAAAGTGTGGTTTCCATAGTGTAGCAGTTATCACGTGTGCCTCACATGCCCAAGGTCCCCGGTCGGGAACACTTCTTTTTAGGAGCTGGGCTAGCATAGTCGGTATAGTGATTGGCTACGGGCTGGTCTACTGAGGGGTCAGAGCTCAGGTCCCGATAGGGTCAAGAATTTTCTCTTCTCCAAATTGTCTACACCGGCTCTGGGGTCCACCCAGCCTCCTATTCAATGGGTACCGGGGGCTCTTTCCCTGGGGGTAAACAGGCAGGGGCATGAAGCTGACCACTCAGCTACAGCTAGTGCTGAGGTCAAGAAAATGTTGATCTCTGCATCCACTCCCCTGAATGAATTCATGGCTTCGTGATTAATTTATTAAGCACAGGGACAACTTTACCTTTTTTTACCTTTTACAATATATGAATAAATTAGTCTTACATTGTTTTAGAAATGAATGAAACCTGTAACTCTCTCCAGAATGTTGTGTTTGAATTGAAGCTCACTCAAAATGGTGTGATTTGCTTACCCTAAAGGAAATGATATGGGATAGCTCTATAAGTGTAGTGTTAGAATAGAGCTTTGTTTCTTTGCCAATGCTATATTACTGCAATGATGCTGGTTAAATGTTAAGCTGTAAAATGGTGACATATCATTTTTTCAGAATGTCAAGAAGATCTTAAGCTTCCTGCTCGTGTGGTGGTAGAGCTTCGTCCACGACACAATGAAGCTTGGAGCCGAGTTCAAGCTATGTCACATAATCCTCGGATACGAACAGTTCTTCCTTTGCAAAGGCGGCTCACTTCACTTCTTGTGTACCTGAACTACCGCTGGCGTCCATCGCACATAAAGCACGTATCCTTAAAAGTCAGACTGTTGGAAATTGAGTGTGCAACATTGAATGATTCACCAATTTGCTGTTACAGTGTTATTCTTTCCACTCTTGTTTTACAGTGTCATCCATCCAATTACATTGTTGCTTTTAGAAGGCTGTCAGCTTCAAGTTGACTAGCTGGAAGATAAAGTAATATTTGGAGTTACTTTTCATGGCTCTTGAACATAGTGTGACGTATTTGCGCTAGGCAGGACACTCCCCCTCCAGCAGTGACATAACAGCATTGGAGCAACTGCCGCTGCTACGGTAACATGCCAGTCAACCCCCCCCCCTCCCCCCAGTGACGTAACAGGGTACACCATGGTTACTATGCAGCTATAAACAACTCTTGGCAGTGTTCCCCAGCAACGCTTGTAAACACGCCATTTACGCAGCAGTGAAGTGATGTGGGTTTTCCGCTGTCCGACTGAGGGTTTATACGAGTTACTAGAGAGAGTAACAAGTCAGTTGTAGTTTAGCATTCGCTGGAGTGAGTTGAAGTCCATTCTTATCAAGTGAATGGCAGCAGTAAGTGTGATACAGCAGATGGCAGTAATTGGGAAACTGTGAATTGTATAAGTGTAAGAGTGAGTGGAATAAATTTGCTACATTCAATACGGCATGAAATTATTTGTCATGTCACACACCCAACATGTGACAGTTTGGTGTCAGAATTGGTTTATGAACTTAAACACACCACAAGTTACAACAAATTATACTGCCACATGATGAAAATGGAAGATATGATGGAATGCCTGCTGGCCGCTCAAGTAGGTTTCCTGGCAAAAATGTATGCCGACTCGAAAGCCTGGCAAGAAAAGGCAGGCACTGATAGAAAGGCCTGGCAAGAAGAGATGGCCGCCTGGAGAGAAAAGACTGCCGCAGAAACAGAAGCCATCCAAACGGAAACAGAAGAAGCGATCAAAGCAAGAACGGAAGCCAAGCGAGAAAATATGGGCACCAGCCACAAGGAGATGGTTGCCGAAACCAAACCAGAAGAAAAAGAGATGATGGCCTGTCCAGAAAAGATGGAAGCGCGTCTAGAAGAGAAAGAGCTGACCTCAGTGGAAATGAAACCTGAGGTGGCCCAACAATGAGAAGTCCCCAACGAAGATGCTGTAGTGAAACTGGTCAAAGGCTGGAAGAGGAGGCATAGGGGCAAGAAGCAAGCTGCAGGGCAATGTGGAGAGCCAAAGAAACTGACCTGAGGAGATTGTGGATCCCGGATGAAGTTTGCTGCCGCCTGCAGGAAGATGTCCTGTCATGCAACAGTGGCATGGCACAAGAGGAACATCTTCGTAAAAATTATGACCCACGGAAATTGGGGACCGCGGAAAGAAGTAACTGCAGCCATAAGGAAGATGACATGCTGTGCAGGACACAGGCATTACAAACAAAGTAATGGCAATGTGATACAAGGAACCCAAAAAGAATGGATGCTTAGGAGGAGATATCAAACAAGACCTGAATACAGAAATGGAATTAAGGACCGAGGTGGCAAGCAGCCACTATACGAGAGAAAGAAGGGAGCAACCGCAATCAGTATCGGAGGGTGCAGCTCAAGACATCTATCACCTCTGGGAAAAATCTGACTGGCGTATAAGACTCTCAAGAAGACGCTAGAGCTGGACATCATGAAGCGAGCAGTAGGAATTTCCAATGGGTTACCAAAAATGAGGAAATGGAACTTGTGGAGGGGTCGACCCCTACAAAACGGAAAAAGGTACTTCAAGCAGAGGAGGAGCCAGTAACGTAGAAGTACCGGCCTCCGCAGCGAGAATAAATGTGCGATGGATGAAAGTGAGGAGTGAATGTGATACAATGGATCGACGAACACTGGACCACGGAATTGTTAGGGATGAACAATCGTAAGATGGGAGTGGAGGATGTAACGGCCACAGAATAGTTGCTGCCAGGAGTAGCCGAAACAACAGGAGACACAGCAAGCACAGCCTTGGAAGAAAAGGAACAGGGATGCACCGTTAGGCTGTTCGGACGAACAACCTTTAGAAGGGAGCAGTGTGACGTATTTGCGCTATGCAGGAGACCCCTCCCCTCCAGCGGTGACGTAACAGCATCGGAACAACTGCTGCTGCTACGGTAACAGGCCAGTCAACACTCCGTCCCCCTCCCCCGCGGTGAAGTAACAGGGTACACCGTGGTTGCTACACAGCTATAAACAACTCTGTAGCATTCCCCAGCAACATCTGTAAACAAGGTGTTTACGCAACAGTGAAGCAATGTGGGTTTTCTGCTGTGCGACTGAGGGTTTATAAGATTACTAGAGAGAGAGTAACGAGTCAGTTGCAGTCTAGTATTCGCTGGAGTGAGTTGAAGTCCATTGTTATCAAGTGAATGGCAGCAGTAAGTGTGATACTGCAGATGGCAGTAATTGGGAAACTGTGAATTGTATAAGTGTAAGAGCGAGTGGAACAAATTCGCTATATTCAATATGGCGTGAAGTTATTTGTCGTATCACACACCCAACACGTGGCAGTGTGTTGAGTCACTGACTTCTTTAGATATGCATATACGAGGGGGGACCCAAAAATAACCGGAATTTATTTTTGTTATTTTTTATTTTTGCATTTTTATTGAACTGTATATTAGTCCCCTTCAAAGTATTGTCCATGTGCATTAATGCACTTTTCCCAACGCTTTTGCCACTGCTCAAAACAGTGCTGGAATTCTTGAGGCTGGATACTGTTCAAAGCCTTTAGCGTGTTTTCTTTGACTTCATCCACATCACGGAATTGCTTTCCTTTCAGACTTCTCTTCATCCGTGGAAACAAAAAAAAGTCCGACGGAGCCAGGTCGGGTGAGTAAGGTGGATGAGGCACAATCACCATGTTGTTGCTTGTCAAAAACTGTCGGACCGTTAAAGCTGTGTGCGGTGGAACATTGTCGTGGTGAAGCAACCAGTTCCCATTTCTCCACATTTCGGACCGTTTCCGTTGCACACTCTCTCGTAATCTTCGTAACACATCCAGGTAAAAATGTTGGTTCACTGTTTGTCCTGGCAGAACGAACTCTTTGTGGACAATGCCGTTCACATCAAAAAAACAAATCAACATTGTTTTCACATTGGATTGCACTTGACACGCTTTCTTCGGTCGTGGTGAAGTTGGAGTTTTCCACTGGCTTGATGATTGCTTTGATTCTGGATCGTTCTGCACTTCACTCTTCAAGTCGCGGCAAACATTCACGCGGTTTTCTCTTTGGTCATCTCCGAGCAAGCGAGGAACAAATTTTGCAGACACCCGTCTCATGTGCAAACCTTCGGTTAAAATTCACTGGACCGTGCTCCATGAGATGTTCGTTTCCTCAGAAAGTTGGTCAATGGTCTTTTGACGATNTGCAGTTTTCCCTAACAGAAAGCAAAATTTCACGCACACTCTTTGTTCCTTCTGGTCGGCCATCTCACTAATCGCCAAAGGGTTGAAACAGGAACGCACACAACAGAGCACAACAGACAAACCACTTAACTCAGACTGACACCAGCTCAATAACAGTCGCGGGAGACCCCCAGCTAACACCACCTAGCAGCACAACTCGTAACTACAAAGCATGCACGCGCAACAGGTCGGTTCCGGTTATTTTTGGGTCCCCCCTCGTATGTTGCTTCTGTGGTTAATCTCAACTTCAGAAGAATGTTTGTATAATTAGTCCACCTTCCAAAGTAAAGTTTGAATCTTCTAGAGTGAACAAAGTTGTCATCGTTGTTGTAGTTTTATTTTACAACTTAAACGTAGCCACATTTAACAATTGAACGATTATACAATCTTGGAGACACATTATATGTTCCTTTTCATAATTGACAACCCTTCATTGTATCCTGAATGCTCACTGAGCATACCAAAGTATTCCATTGCCCATACCTAAACTAAACTTTCTCCTATTTTGGATTTATGCATGTGTATATGTGTGCATTCCAGTATAGAAAACCGAGATTAACGGCCATGGGGATCCATTGTGCTGACCATGTGACACCCTCAATCTGCAAAAGTTGGCACTAACTTCGCCGACAAGCAGCGGTTACTTGGTCGGTATAGTTCGCAGACTACAGGCCATGGAGTTTGTGCATGTGAGTGAGAGAGAGAGAGATAACATTATAATGTTCAGGAAGGCCTCCTTGACAGCAGTGTTATGCAAGAACTTCATAACCATTAGGGTTTCACATCAGTGAGGAATAAATTTAAAATGACTCGTGGTTCTATACATGCTCTATTTGGCAAGAGGGATGAAGCTTGGTCTTTTGGAATTGGACCATGACAGAGTATGCAATACCAGTAGAAATATGTTGCCTGTTAACTGACCTCTCATTCCAAATTAATCGCAGCTGGGTGTCATCACAAGAATAGCAGAGCTGAGAATGTTTCAGTTACGATCAGTTTCTCAAAAATGTGAATAAGAAAATTGTAACTTGGAAGGCAACCCATGTTAAATAAAAGCATAATAACAAAATCTCTGTTTCTGTAAAAGTAACTTTCATAGTATATTTTCCAGTTGTTGGTGGGACTTAGGTTTTACTAGGTTTTTGGACCTTTTCCAACATCCGGTATTCTAGATAATAGAGGACACAACATTTTGGAAACTGGATCTGTTTCTATCTTCAGGTGAGAAAGGAAGACATCTACTCAGTTTGGCCCCTTAGAAAGAGCTAATCTCAATCACTATCTCTTCCTAAGGCACCCAACTTAGTAGGTGTCTTCCTTTCTCACCTGAAGACGGAAACAGATTCAGTTTCCAAAACGTCGTGTCCTCTATTACCTAGAATTCCAGATGATGGGAAAAGTCCAGTAATTCTCTGTGTCATCCACCATCGTCAGAACCCTTTAGAATCTACTTAAAAGGTTTTATTAGAATTTGGCACATCTCAGATGTCTTGTAGTTATTCTGTTATTTTATGGCTAGGGTCTCTGCTTTGCATATTCACAATGTAGTATTAACATCAAATGTTAAGAAAGTACAAACTACAGATTTCAAGAAACTCTTCTAAATAAGCATTTTTTATGTGAAGTAGGACAGAGAGAGAGACTGTTGTTGAGAGAGCCACCTGCTGACAGAATTGGTACTATCTATAATTGGTGCATGTACACTTAACAATGTCACACAACATGGATAAAATTGTATTGTATAGAGAGGAAATTATGTACCATGTAGGAGCAGTAAATAAGCAGACAGATGTTTCTGCCGTGGGTGTTAGTCCACCTTACTTCCCTTTCTCCTGCTATGTATTCCATTTCTCATCCACCAGATATCATTGCTAAATATCTTTCCATAAATAACTTGTAAATTAGTCTCTCAGTAGGTGGGATATAGGACATAACTCGGATTGTATCAAACCTTGACTGTAAATTGCAGCGTGATAAACTGTTGTCATCTGTTGGTAGCACTGATCTCACCCCACAAGATTCAGAAGACAACAAAAAGGAGAAAGAACCACTTCTTCGTGTGGCACCACATCTGGGTGCTCCAATATGTGTACCCTCTGTGAACGTGACTGATTACATGACCAGTTCGAGTCTATGCCTTAGCTCATATGCAGAGCGCTCGCAGAAATGGCAGGAAGAGGCTACATCATCATCTTTTACTATTGGGAAGGGAGGTGGGAAGGGATGCACATCAAGGAAAGGGGGGAAGCGACAACGGGTGGACAGTTCAAGTGACAAGAAATCTCCTACTGAGGCTTCTGCGATGACATCTCCTGTGAAACAGAAAGAGAATGTATGTCCTGAGAGTGAGTTTGTCAGTTGTGGTGTTATGTTAGACAGTGCCTCTGACGATAATAAATCTGTGTTCACCAGTTCTGCGCTTAACCATGAAGAAGATGGGGACCATGTGATCTCAGGAGCTGATGGTGATTTTAACAATATGGCTGTGAATGACATACTCCCTCAGCATCATCTCACAGGTACCGTTACATCTGCTAGAAACTTTGAAGCAAGATCCATTGTTTTAAATCACGCAAGTAGAAGAATCTTGTTTCTTTGATACCAGTTTATACACAGAATTAAAGTTACTAAGATTATGGTCTTCTGAGTTGTGACACTCTGTAGATACATGAGTTTTGAAGGAATGTTCTGCTTCCATCATCTGCACTAAATTGAGCATGGTGAGGATTTTAGTCAGATGATTAGACAGGTAACAATGAATGGGGTCTCTCAGATCCACTGGATGGGTAAAGAAGGTGGAGTCTGGTTTAGGCCAGTGGTAACAGAGTTTCTATGTGTGTATTTTTCTGTCAGTAGTGAAATCACAAAATCAGAAGGAAATGTCTCGTAAGTAGTAATATCTGAAAACATTTTTTTTAAGTGTGTGGAAATGCAAATTAGTAAGTATTAATATTTGGACATGATGGCTGTAAGCTGAGAGTGGAGCAAGAAGAGGCAGCCATTGCTAGGCACTGGTGAGGTAAATGCCTTGCTGTAGCAACAAATAAACACACTATAATAGAGGAACTGTGTGGTCCTCATCAAGGCTATGTAGCGAGGACTAACAGAAAAAGTTATTCAGTTGGGAGTCAGAGGTGGCAATTAACAGTCACTGATGAGTTCCAAGTGAGCATTGGCAGTTTGTGGTTCTTTGTAAATTTTTAAATTTTATAAGCAAATATATGTCTTAATTTTATTTTAGTAATTATAGGCCAGTACTGTGTAGGGCATTCATCCATATTTATTGAGCTTGAAAAGTTTTTGCTAATTTGTACATCACAGAAAATGCACCACATATCTATTATGAAGTTAATTCAGCTAATGACATTTAGAAAAATAATTTTTTGGAACCTAATTGAAATTTACCTCTGCTCAGGCTAAATACTGTGCTTTTAATGTTTAACCAGGTGGCTTATATGATTGACGCAGATCTGTAAAGGCTTAAGTTAAGAAGGTTACAATAGTTTGGAGTACAACCAATTGAAAGTCCAAGACCATCAGAGGATAGTATTAAACTTGATTTTGGAGAAATAGTTCCTGAAAATGTTGTGACAAGTCAGTGCACTGCCAGGCAGCGGCTTGATAAATACTCTCTATTACGTGCATGCAACAGTAGAACAGTGTGGTCATGCAACCCGTTTGTAGGCAACAGCTCGGTAAACGCAATTCTGTGTGGGCAGTGATGTCACACAACAGTGGTTGGAGACCATGTGACATGTTTTCTGTATGTCCGTGCCAAAGGTTTGTGGGGACAATGAAGGTCGTCTGCAGGAAGTCAGGCTGTAGAAGGAAGTAATAGATGGGTTTCACTTGAATTCTGAAGTTCCAAGGGAACAGCAGTGTAGCCAGAAGAAGAATTAGAAGACTTAGTGTGTGATGTCACATGTGCTGTAGTACATTGATATTGGGAGCGTGTGTTTGAGATTCCTGTGTTATAAATCCCTGAAGACTAGTGTAGATAGACTGAAGAGATTAGCATGGAGTGCTTTGTAGTTTGAAAATCAGGAGCACTGTTATAATTAATTGTAAGTACAACATGTAGGTGGTGAATAAACCCAGTTACCAATCCAAACCCCATCTTTAGTCCATGATACATGTGACAATATAAACAGGATGTAAATAGCTCAGGATGATCCCATACTTTGTGTGTACATACTCTTTATATAGGGATTTTAAAGAAATATTAATTTTCAAGGCATAATATTCATGTAGACATTATATGCTTGCATATTTTTTTTTCTTGTTTATATCATTTATGGAATGCACATAATTTTTTTTCTTCTTCCTTCAGTGTTTTGACTGTTACACAGGTTTCATCACAGTTATTTTTATTATTGTAAAACAATGAAATCAAATTAAACTATGTTAATAATACTGTACAGTTTTCCTGTAAGTGAAAATTTGTATATCAGAACTATTGACCTGAGTGTCATAATTTTGTTATTGGAAACTTCAAGCATAGAATATGCATTATTGATGTACTGTTTCAGATGATGATGCTGGAAATTGGAACCATGGCACTGTGCTTGCTGTAGACACTGAGCTGACGCCACTTCAGAGTGAAGGGCTGGACAGTAAGGGTGATGTTACAGCTCAGACAAGCACTGCTGCAGAACCCAAGGTTACTGACAATGAAGATATCATCAGCAGGATACGAAATGGATGGACAATTGAAGATGCCCATGCTATTTCTATAGGAGAACTTTATCTCATGGTTTGTACTTTAACCCTTCACTGCTGGTGGGCATTTAAATTCCTACTCAACTCCTATGCTGGAGCATATTTAAATATTTAAATCAAAAGGTGCAACATTTCACTTAAAGTGTAATAAATTAGGAACAACCAGAGTTCTGTTTTTCTAATTTTCACACTATATTCAGAAATGTATATAGAATTGGTGTATTGATCCACACTGCTTTAAAATTATTTTTTGGCACAGTAAACCTATAAAAATTATGAATGATAGTATCATATTACCTTAGAAGTTCAGCTAGGTGTGTTAGTCGTGAAAACATTCCACACAGAGTCCCATTTCACACACGTGCCACCAGTACACAGTATTTGACACAACATGTCGTTTCTATGGTTTTCATTTCTTCGCAGTTGGTGGAATCTTGCTTATAAAATTTCTTCTCTTAGACAGGGCACTGTTTTGTCGGATGAATGTCGACCCGGCACTTTGTGTTCTACAGCATTAGCATATTTCACAGAGAGTCCCTCAGTTAACTGAATTCTGATTGACAATTGATCTATACTTTTCCTTGTGCTATTCCTACATATTATCATTGCATTCAGAAATTTTCTTTTTGTCCCTTATAGTTTTGCATATCCTCCCAGTGGATGTTTGTGCTATTCTTGATTCTGTCATTTACCACAGAATCAAGAAAAGCACAAACATCCATTTTCAGTGTCTAATTCTGAATCTGATAAAACTTTGTTCTGATTCGGTTTGAAGTATATATATTCTCCACTGGTCATGACACAACACAGCTGGCCACTTCATTCCTTGCGGCTGGCCTTGGCTAACCAGACTGCATGATGCGTATTTATAGAACAAAGGGGGATTACAGTAGTTATCGTTCATGTAGTGAACTGTGTATCATTTGCTACAGTAGCCATCATAACACACTTCTTAGAGTCAACATCACATCTCAAAGTCGTAAATTCTCCGCATGTCTTCTCGTAGTTACGAGTACAAATACCAATGTTGAAGCAGCACAGTTCAGAATATGCCTCAAGAGAATCGACTTTTCATTTGATCAGGATAGAGGACAGCACACAGTATCGATCTAACCTATACAAAATGTCATTCTAAAATGACTAAAATGTGTATTCGTCATGTATAATAATAAATTCTAAATATTAAAACCTTTCAGGATTCGTCATCCATACGTTGTATCTCAAACACGCGAATCACACCATTCCTCCTCTATGGGAGCATTCTTCCTACATTCATGTGTGTATTGTGCACTGTGTTGTGTCTTACTCCTGTGACCGTGCATTTAGTCATTTTAGAATGAAGACGTCATGGCATGCAATGCAGTAGTTTGACGTGCATAGAGACACACCTGAAGATGGCACATTAGTGCTGAAACATATAGTGCAAAAATGAAGAGAAAGGTGAAATTGTGTGCACTATAAGACGTTTAGCATAAATACACATCATGGACATGAATCAGTGCAACAGGACGCTAAAATATAACATTAATTGCGATTCATTACAAGAGGTACCTATTATATAGCATTTTTCACTTTTTTTTTTTTTACTATAAATCAATCAGTATTCAATAGTGTCCCCGAGAAGCACTCTCTTCTTGCCATGGCACACTTCTGACTGAATTAAAGTATTCAGTGAATTTGTGTCTAACAGAAAAAGCAGCTTGGACACTCCTTGAACGATTACCTGAAATTGGAAGTAGCTGTCTTGTTGGTAAATTCTCATCCAAGCCGTTTTGTTCATTATCACAACTTATGACTGCATTTCTTCGTAAATAGTTGTGCAAAATGCAAGCTGCTTTTACGATGTCGACAACGCTAGTAACTTTAATTTCAAATGGTCTTTGGAATACTCGGAATCGCGAAGCTAGGATTCCAAATGCACATTCAACAGTTTGCCTTGCTCGTGAAAGCCTATAATTGAACACCTTATTTCCATAGCTTCCCATAACTCTTCTCCTTGGGTAGGGCCTCATTAAGTTTGGCATCAATGGGAATGCCTCATCCCCTACAAATACGTATGGCAATGCATGTTCGAAGGAGAGCAGATCAGCAGGTGGACGAAGTTGTAGAGTTCCCTTATCCAGTTTTCTGCCCAACTGACTACTTGAAAAAATACTTCGTCACTGAATTGTCCCATGGATCCTACGTCAATGGAAGTGAATTTGTAGTGTGCTTCGACAGCTGCCATTAAAACGATGGATAAATCGTGTTTATAATTAAAGAATGAGGATCCAGATTTATTAGGCTTTTTGATAACAACATGCTTTCCATCGATGGCTCCCAAGCAGTGTGGAAAATGCCATCTGAGGCAATCAAGATCCATATTTCTCTTTTAGGTTGTGGTAAATACAACTGTTGTGAACTTCGTTCACAATTTTAGCTACAGTTCGATCTCCCATCCTGTAACTGTAGCCAATGCTTTTGTAGCTATCCCCAGATGCCATATACCTGAAACAAAGAAATACGCGCTCATTAATGTTCAATTTATACTAATTAATTAATTACAAAATATATTGTTTTCTCTTTTTCGGATGACGAGGTTAAATGTACTTGGGTGAAATTAAGAAATAATCACAGGGATGCTCTATGACGACAGCAACATATGAGAAGAAGTGGAGTTGCTACTGCAGATGTCAAACCGTGGAAGTTCCAAGCACAAATGGAATTTTTATTACGTTACATGGTCAATGAAAACCGTGATACAAATTTCACCGACGATGATGGCAGTTCAGAACCTCCTAATGAAGAAGCTCAACATGTAGACCCTGAATCGCAACATTGTGAAGGTGACCCTGTTTACAAGATAAATGATGAAGGTTCGGACTTACCAAACACTGCCGACGTTGAAGAGGATGAATCACGTAATTCATCTGCAAACAACGAGTCTGCCAAATCTCCTGTATCACCAATGCCACAACCAAAGAAGAAGGTGAAAAAATTTGATATTGACAACTTAATAAAAAATACTATTGAGCAATGAGAACCAAGATCAAAAGATAGAAGTGAGGAAAGAAAAAAACTAGAAGCAAGAACAACTCCGAAGGATGATCTGTATCTGTTCTTCATGTCAATGTATGAGCTGACCAAAAAAATGCCAGCAGCATCTCAGCACATTGTAAGAAGAAACGTATTTCTCACTGTATCGCAAGAGGAGGCACGCCAAGCTGAATATTACTGACCTACATTTAACCCAGGAGTTGGTACAGGCGACAGCAGTCATCACCCGGGGAACTAGTCAAATTGGACACATGTGAGCTCTCCTGCTTCAACTAGCTCTTCAGGGCAACCTCCTTCCTACTTCTGTGGAGAGACGGTGACTTCTCATGAAAACTTAGAATCTTCCAACGTAGTCTCTTTCATTAATCATTTCTCAGAATAAAAATTTCTCTGCATTTTTGCCATGTATATTATCAGTTTCTTATTATATTGTAATGTATATTATCAGTTCTTAAAAAACATGAAATAAAAAACTTACCTCAAAAATACTGCCAGTTTTTCTTCAATTCCAATTGGAGTTTGAGCATTGCATCCCTCGGAGTAAATAATAGGTTGAATCATGCTATGAACTTCTTCAAACTCCTCTCAATTCACATGGATATAGTTCACAAATCGTTCATTGGAGAATTCTCTTTTCAGTGCAAATTCCCCGTGAGTTCCTCTTTTTTTCATGTACTCACCGTTCCACAGCTTTACCTTCCTCGACTTCCGATAGAGTAATAGTAATGTTTCTAACTCGCTGTCCGAATCTGACTCAGAGCGGAAATCAAGGTATTCCACAAACATGTTTTTGATTTTCGATTTGGTTACATGCACAAAGTACCCCTGCCTTCGTCAAACTGCTGAACAAAACTGCTTTCCAATATACATCGACAACTGTGCCACACAGTTCTGTTTTCCGTGCTGCCCTGCCCCTACTGCGCCACGCAGCTCAATGTGTGCCTTAGCTAAGGGAGGAACATGGATCGAGGGTGTTTGAGAACAGGGCGCTGAGGACAATATTTGGGCCAAAGAGGGATGAAGTGATAGGACGTTGTAGATAACTGCATAATGAGGAGCTTCATAACTTGTACTCTTCGCCAAGTATAATTAGAATGATTGCATGAAGGAGGATGAAATGGGCAGGGCATGTAGTATGCATGAGGGAAAAGGAATACATATAAGATTTTGGTGGGAAAGCCAGAAGGAAAGAGACCACTAGGGAGACCTAAACATAGGTGGGAAGCTAATATTAAAATTGATCTGAGAGAGAGAGGTTGGGGTGGTATGAACTGGGTTGGTCTGACTGAGGGTAGGGACTGGTAGAGGGCTCTAATCAACTCAGTAATGAGCCTTCAGGTTCTGTGTAAGTTGGGAGATTCTTGAGTGGCTGAGCGACTGTTGGCTTCTCAAGAAGGGCTCAGATTCATAGAATAAGTTAGTTCACTTAATGTGGATACAGTTCTATGTTGGGAAAGTAATCACTTAGACTTCACACTGCACTCTGTTAGAGATAACTTTTTTTCCTTATAAAGGAAAAATTCTATCTTCTGGGATATATTACCATGTGGTCCATTGACAGTGCATTGTCTTTCTTTGGACTATATAGCATTATTTCCCACTATTCATAACCACTGCTATGAGAACCTGAAATCCTTTTTCCTTGCATTTCATTAAATATTCATCAGTTACAAAATATTTAGAATAAATGGGTGTTATATTTTATGATGTTTGCCAGTTCTCTACAGTGAATAAACTTTGAGAAAATTTATAAAATTTCAGTTCCATTTTATTAAAGGAAGAGATTATTATTATTATTATTATTATTATTATTATTATTATTATTATTAAACTGCAAATGGGTTTTACCCAGTGGCAGTGGTATTACAATAAGACAATAGACAAATAACACACATAAACACGAAACAAAACACAGCACACAGACAAATAGTAGAAAAGCACACAAACATTAGTAGAAAATTAACATAGTATATATTAAACTAACAGCAATGAATGCATAATGTCATGTTCTCATTTTCCCTTCATTTCTCTTTACTACACTTACATAATCCTCCAATCCTTAACACTTTTCACTTCACTTCGCTTCCCTTCACTTTACTTCACCTCAGCTCACTTCACTTCACTTCACTGCATTTTTTTCTGATTTCCACCCCACCTTCACTTCACCTCAATTATCACTTTCCTAACCCTTTTCCTAAAATTACTTGGTTTGCAGGAGAGAGTCCCTAAAGCATCTGAAGGTAGTTGGTTCCAGATCTGTATGGTCCTATTTACAAAGGAGTATATCTGTCCATTGTTTTCTGCTCCTAATTTTCTCGTCATGATTGCCCCTGCTCAGATAGCATGGCCTTTGTAATCTATCACCTATAGTTTTCCAAGCCCGTTCTCTCGTGTATGCTTTGAAGAGAGCACATATGCAAGGTATCTGCCTGCGCTGTATCAAGGCTCCTCAGTTCAAATTGTTCCTATGATGTGGAAATTTAGCCGCTTTCTTTTGCACCCAGTCTAATGCATTTATCTGTCCCTCCTTGTAAGAATCCCAGCAAGCTACCCCATATTCCAGAATAGGACGCACTAAAGATGTGCAGGTTAAACATTTAGTGTTGCTATTTCCCTTTTTTAGAATACACATTGCAAAATGAAGTGCTTTTCAGGCTTTTTTCACTGTGTAATTAACTTGATCAGCCCAACTTAGATCGCTGCATAAAATTATTCACAGATATTTACAATTGCTTGCTTCAGGAATTACTGTGTCCCCTAATGAATAATTTAGTGGTTCCGTCACTTGGGCCCTCATGAAACAAAAATTCACTGGTGGTATGCTGTGCTCATTGCATTTTAATATTACAATACATTCATGATATGAACGTATAATGATGACACTCGATAGCACCTTAAGCATAAATACTCTGAGATCAAAATGGCTCAATGACAGATAATTTTGACAAATATAACTGCTGTATGCCAAGACACCAATACAAATGGTACCATATACCCTTATACAACATGATGCAAGGATAACAAGTAAATAAATTAATATAAGACGGTGACGTAACCTAAAAACAAACAACCTGCAGTTCATTTTCAAAGTGAACATCTGAAAGCTCCCACATATGCAGCAGAATAAACACTGATAAAACTATGCTAGTTAGTGCATATGCGGATGATTCAATGATTGCATCCAGTATAGGATGGTTCAGATCAATCCTAACTAAAAATTTGAAGCAATTAGTGTAACCGTTTGCCTACATGTTTGGAAGCACCATCTTATAATCCTCTCATTGGGCCTCTACGTCAGGCGCCATGTTATCATAATCGCCGTTAGCCCTTACGTTGGGCATCATGTTCTTCTACTCATCCTCTTGTGTTGGCCTTTATGTCGCTGGCTGCTGGACTGCTACGGGTGAAGGCGGCTACAGCTGGCTTTACCCTGCTTCAATTATCATACTTGCACACCTCTGATCTTTAGGGTAATGGGTTTTGTTTGGGTGCCAGTAAACTGCTACCATCAGTTTACAGATTTCTGAAAGGTGTGAAGGATTGAAAAGGGGGTAGCGGTCGTGGGTAGCTACTTCCGCCAGTAGAGCAGAGATTCTGTCCTCAGGCCATTTGGCAGGGTCTCGCTCAGGAAGGGAAGTGGGAACTCCTGTTATAACACACACTTTGTTCCACAAGGCACTTTATTAAACTGTGGTCCATAAGGGACGCCACTAATGCACTAGATTGAATTTGCGTCCGAATGGTTTGAGATCTGGAATACGACATTTTGCAGAATTTGCATCCGAATGGTTTGCGATCTGGAATACGGCTCCTTCAGAATGCCTTCTCCTCAAAACTCTCGGAGTCGACTCGGTCCACAAGTCAACTCCCTAAATTATGAGGATTGGTCATTTTCAAAAAATGGGAGTACACTAATTAAGTATTTCCCCAATCCATTTAGGTATTACAGGGAATTTAGGCGCTAAAATTTAACGTAAATCCTGTCTGTAGCTTTGACAAATGTTATGCTTGGCTTGGGGTTGGGAGACCACCCATCTTTTAAGTTATGGGTTCAAAACTGTCACATATTGTATTCTCAAAGGATTCAGACAAGTAAAATTTTGTGTGACTTTCTAAAGAGCCAAGCTGCTCTTTCACTTCGAATCTGCGTTGACCAATCGTTTTCTTTTGTCTTTTGCACTCGAGAGTTTGGGCTAAAACTACTTTTTGAGGGGAAGAAATAGCCTCTGTACCTCTCGTCCATTTGCTGTAGGTTACAAGTAAACCTAACTGAACATATTAATTTACCTGGATCAAAACAGGCTACAAAATTAAATCCAGCTGGGGTTGACAGATCGGTTACACTAGTGAGTTAATATCAATCATATTTATTTATGACTTGTCTATGTAAACAGCCAAATTAAATCATAAGATACATGGTATGTGGTATAGAACTTGNTTTTTTTTTTTTTTTTTTTTTTTGGGTGGGTCCTGTATAATGACAGTGTCAGTAGCAAGACCTTGTAGTGTTGCATGGTAGGATGATAGACGATGGTGAATTGGAAATGATTGAGTAGGAAGCAGTTGTGGCCTATTTCTGATACTATCTCAGCATTTGTTGGAGGGACTTAGGAGAACCACAAAAACCTGTCAGCCAGACCTCTCTGACATTGTAATGAACACCTTCTGAATAAATGTCTGTAATGTTACTGTTATACCAGCCTCTTCAGTGAAACATATGTATTGATATGTAAGTAATCATTTAGCACACCGTGCACAAGATACCAAGTCACCTTACTTTACCTATATAAGAATATTGTAGCAACCAAGGAATCGGTTACTATACAGAGAAAACCCTACTGTGATGGGATATTAAATGAGAACAATATTTAGACCAACATGTATAAATGTTTTTCATTTCTGACTGGAGGGACAATGAGACTTAGAATGATCATCTTATTACTTGTAGGAACAGGGATTATTGACCTAACCATACAAAGTTTATTACGATGTTGGCATGTAAATTCTGCATATGAGATAAAGAGGCATTTGGGTTGGAATATCAAACTGAAATAGTTAGATTACAGATAGCTTTGCACCTTGTCTTAATACATTAAGACATTTTTAAAATTTTTGCATGCACTAATCTCACAAGAAAGTGCAATGATTATTGTCTCAGAAAATGTCATCATTGTTTCATTCACTCCACCACCCAAAGTTAATGTAGCACCTGGCCACAATTTAAACTTCTGAAAGTCCTCAGTACTGGGTAAAACACCAGTTACTAGAGTAAAGACCATGACATGCTTTGCAATTATTAGCAAACTGTTAAGAAATTTTAATGAATAATCTCAAGTTCTCTTGAGCACCCAGAAATTATTCTGAGTGAAGCAAGGAAGCCTCATACATACTGTGTGTGACAGACAATCTAGATCATTTTGTTTTTAAAATATAAGGAAGATGTGGAAACATTTACATATGCTATGTTTGAACTTGCTCTGGGAGACAGTGAATTTGGGAAAATGCCTGATTAGATTTATTAGCAGTAGTGTTCTATTTCACAGATGCTGGCTACATTAAAATGATGTAAAGTTCGTATTATTAATTGGATAATTGAACATTATTTGTTTTTGCAAGTAGATTATATGTATTCTGTTATCTTTGATATGATTTCAGTTTGGTAGTGATTCCAAGCTGCAGATGGAATACTGGTGGGAGCATGTTCCTCCAGAAACAGCCCCAGACACGATGCCGCTGCAGGGTAGTGTTGAAGGGGAGACTGCATCAGAATTACAGAACAGTTCTGTGGGAGAAACTCTGCAAAAATTGATCTCCATTGCCAAGCTCAATTTTACAAAGGCAAAGGTAAGTAGATGATTGGTTAAATGTTACAGTGTAGCCAGTTTTTTTTTTTTGTTCAGCTTGGATTGCCTAATATATTGTGACATGATGGCCGAAAGCTGGAATAGCAGAACAAATAAAGGCAGCCATTGCTAGGCAATGGCATGGTAAACACATGTTCCCAGAAACAAGTCAGTGGACAACAGTAGAGGAACTGTTGGAAGCGGTGATTTCTATGTGGCCCTTGCCAAGGCTGTATAGCAAGGATGAACAAGAAAAGTTAGGGAATCATGGGTCAGAGGTCATAGCTGGCAGTTAGCAGTCTTCAGTTGCATTGTTAGCAGCCACAACCCATCAACAGCTAGTGAAGACATAGCAGACTGAGAAGACTGTTGTTTGCAGTAGTGGTTTTTAGAGTGCGTTATAGTGAAAGTGTTATAATTATTTATAATTACGAGTTATAAGCTTTCAGTAAATACAGTTATCAATCCAGACCCCATGTGTAGTCATGTGATGATATATTTTACTTTGGAGTTAACGTTTAGTGCTGGACGAGTGAGCAAGCTAGCTAAAGCAGCAGTGCCTTTGACATGTACTTGAAAAGTGTCTGGATTGAATCTCAACCACAATGTTGACAAGAAAATGCCAAGATTACATCTTAAATTACACCATGATCACATCCTTAAACATACTTTCCAGTTCATTATTCACTAATCATCCTGCCATATAATACTATATTATAATATGTTGTTATATTATTTCTTATTAGTTAAAATGCCTTACTTATATTTGACATTTTAATTTCTTAGTGTTATAGCTAGTTAGTTAGTTAGTTATAGGAGAGGGTGGGTTTCCCCATGCACTTAGACCTGTATTGGTCCATTGTGCTTCCCTCTATGATTTCTACCAGTCTCTATATCCTACCGGTACTGGTGCTTACCATCAGTCCCGCCCAGCCAGCGAGACCGGCT